ACTCTCAACAAATTAGAATATGGTGACATGCCAATCAGCTAATCAACTCAAAACACCTACAAAGGAATTTTTTTTTTAAACGTAATAGTTTCATAATATATATTTATTTATTTAATTTATTTATTTAGAGAACATTATTAGAGAACAGATACATTTACTGGAAGAATGCTTGTTCATAACTTTGAGAGAACCTTGCCAGAACGTTAGAAGTTTGTTTAGCTTGCCAAAGTTTTTAGAACGTTCCTTGTTAGCTGGGATGCACTTCTCCTCATAGGACTTTTAAAAGTAACATTTCCATAATGTTTAAAATATGCTAAAATGGAACCCTAATGTTTTCTCTAATATTCACAGAAAAGTTTTTATTTTAAAATAATGTTTTCATAACAGAAACATTAGCAAAACTTTTTTGTTATTTGGGATGAATGTGTTAGTGTGAGTATTTGTAAAGGTTTATTAGGGTAGCGAACTTGCTCCTCAACATGATGTCACCTAGACATTTTTTTTTTTGCCTTTTTTTTATTCTGCTCCTCCTTCCTCCTCTTTTCCTTCTGATTCTCATTCTCATTCCATCCATCTCCAAGTAAAACACTCTCCGACTGAGGGACCGAAGTGAAAACGTTTTTTTGGACTTGGACGGCGGACAAATGCTCCCACTGCAAGGACAAAATTACATCCTGCACCTTCTCAGTTTCTTCGATGTCGTCTGCATTTCTTTTTCTCGTTCTCGCAAATATCACTATTTGTCTCTCCTCCAGCTGCTGTTTCTTCTCAAAGTCAATGACCACAGACACACCCTGGTCCTCGAGCCAAATACTCTCACTGCCCACATTGGCTTCCCGCAACACTTTTACAAACTTCTCACAGCGTTTATGTAACTTTTAATAGCGTCTGCGTACTGACACTCAGGGTTTATGAAGCCTCAAACTCTCCAGACGTCACATGAGGATCCATCATGGTCCGGTTATGCTTAGAAATGGTTTTGCTGGTGTTTTCTGGTGTGGGCTAATGGTTTTGACGATCCCATGTTCCCATACAGACTGATAAAATATAAATCATGAAGTCACATTTGGTGCCAAATGCATAAATGTAAATCAGGAGTCACTCAATCTTGACAGTTTTTAAAATGTTGATTTCTTGAATCTGACCGCTGATAACTCACAACTGCAAATAAATAATAAATAAATTAGTGCTGTCAAATGATTAATCGTGATTAATCGCATCCAAAATAAAAGTTTTTTTGTTTACATAATATATGTGTGTGTTCTGTGTATATTTATTATGTATATATAAATACACACACATGCATGTATATATTTCAGAAAAATAGGTTATGTTAATATATTAAATATATTTATTTATAATATAAATTATATAAATATAAATATAGACGTAAATATTTTCATAATATATACTGTATGTGTGTGTATTCATATACACATAATAAATATACACAGAACACACACATATATTATGTAAACAAAAAAACTTTTATTTTGGATGCGATTAATTGTGATTAATCTTTTGACAGCACTAAAATAAATAAATAAATAATAGGCTAATAATAAAATGAATGAATAAATAAATACAAATCAAAAATCAAATGGATGCATTTTCAATTACTTTTTTCCGTAGTTTATGTATTATATTTTTAGTTTTGTTTAATAGTTCTATTTTATTTCATTTGCATATTACGTTACACTGTAAATAATTATTATAAATTGCCTAATTTAACAAAAACTTTACAAAAAAACAGCAAATAACAGTGTATATTACTTTTATTGTCTTAATTATAAAGTAGATTTCATTTGTAATCTTATGTTACATTAATTATAGTATTTGGTCGGTTTTTATAATATATAATAGTGTATAATAGTTTTTTTTTTTGTGTGTGTATAAAATAGTGTTCCTAGCTCAAACATACAACAAATATCATAGTGTGTTTCTGATGGTTTACAAGAGATCTGTGATTTGTTACCTCCGGACTGTCCAGTACCCACTTAAGAGTCAAAATCTCTTCAGATCCCGATAGCAATCATTAAGTTAAGTGGTCTAAATGTATCTGTCTGTATTTATATATTCTGTGGAAGGCGTAGGATCAAGAAATGTTTGTCCAATCAAAACACTCGGTCCGTTCGTTTTAATATGCTTTCCTACCTGTCTGTCAACATATGTATTAGCATACCTCCGCGCACCCTGTTCGCGCAGACAGGATACTCATCAGCGCGTTCACACACAATGTGCAGACAGCGAGAATGGCAGACAAACATCAACAACCCGATCTTCCTTCCTGGTATTGTAGTACTTTTAAAGTTTTCTCACCGGTGAATGACACATGATGTAGCCCAGCGGTTCCCAATCCCAGTCCTCGCGCCAGCTCGTTAGAAGTGAGCTACGTGCCTGAATTGTGTTCCGATCGATATGATCCCTACACCGTGTTCATTGCTTCCTACTCCATGAGCGGGGGA